CACTGGGTATTTACACAGGTGGGACTTTTTGTAGATTTATTCCAAAGGTCAGTGTATTTTGTAGTTTCTATTTTTCACCACTTAAACTTCCTGAAACATCTGTATTATTTGATCGGAATCACAAACCCCACAGAACAATATATTTTTTAAAACAGAGTTTCATTAAAGCCTTATAAAACATCATGTACATTATCATGGAACGCCACCTAGATAGGAGTTTCTTATACATCCAGCAGTGTTATGTCTTGTCATGATTCTTACACAGCCATGTTGTATATTACTATTACTGAGTGAACACTTATTCACCTACTTACGGGTGTTTGAGGTATATGGTTCCATACAGTGTCATGAAAAAACATTATAGATATTTTCAAGGTGGAAATTTACGCTACCCATATAAAGTTCCTGATTTACCACAAGGCTATAGATTAATGAAATACACATTAAAAGATTTAAGATATTGAACCTTTCAAACATTTGTTGACCTTGAGAAATTATCATATTACTAATTTCAGAAGTACAATTCTGAGTTACCTCTGCAGAGAAGTGATGACTTAAGGGAAGCTTACCTGTGAGTAGACCTCTTCTGCTGTGAAAGTGCCATGGAAACCGCCATGGATTCTTGATCTTCCTCCTGGTAGCCATGGTGATGTTGATCCTCCATAAACATTGGATTATGTACTCCTATTGAAATCATTAACAGAGCAGTATGTTGATTCAATTTTCAACGATTTCATAGACATGGTAATAAATTATTAGTTTTCAGTAACTCAATAAAAATTACCCCTAGGATTACTGTGAAAAATTAACTGTATAAAGGTGATCCAAACATTGATAATATTTACCTGTGACCGAGTGAGCACTCCTAGCCAGACTTGGTACCTGTAGTGTCATATTAATGGCTCACTTTAGACTACCATAACCCTGGACAATGTACATGCAGGGGTCAACATAATTTTAATATAAGAAAATATTTTGCAAGTTAAAACAAAACATTGTATAAATAATATCGGGTAAAAATACATTCATAAATAGTTAACCTTAATAATGCTTAACAATATTGATGAACATTTTCTGCGTATCATAAAGTTTTGTTTTATCCCATTTTCCAAGGCTGCTCTATATCATATAACTTTACTTTTTAACTCTGACTTATTTCAATGAGTCAATTATAATCAAGAAACAATGATTTATTTTAATGATTTAATTTGTTAACAAGAATTGATGACTCACTTTTAATTTTATGGATTAATTACTGAACAAACAAAAATCACTGACTTTCATACATTAATGATTTGATTTGTAAACCAAGACATTGACTTACTCATTGGAGTACTTTCTCAACAAGAAACACTGATTTACCTCAAAGGTTTATTTTCCAATCGAGAAATGTTGTCTTTAATATTTCAATAATGTAATTCGTAAACAAGAATCACTGCCTTTCTTTAATTGATTAATTTTTAAATAAATACACAGACTTGCTTCAATGGGTTAACTTGTTATCTAGGAACTCTGACTTATGTAAGTCCATTAGTTTATAAACAAAAATATGTTGACTTTAATACTTCATTAGTTTAATAAGTAAACAAGAGTTAATGAATCACTTTTTGAAACACTGACTTTCATTCATTAATGAGTGAATTTGTAAACCAAAAACATTGACCTACCTAAGTGGATTAGTCTGTAAGCAGGAAACACAATTTACATTAATTTACTTCAAAGGATTAATTTGCAAATACGAAATGTTGACTTCCTTCTAAGGTTTAATTTGTAAAGTATATAGACTTACTTCAATGTGTTAATTTGTAAATAAGATTTTTTTTTTATTTCAATGGTTGAATTTGTAAACAAGAAACACTGAATTTCCTTAAAGTATTAATTTTCAAATAAAAACACTGACTTACTCAATGGATTTGTTTTCTTTTATAATTGCCTAATGGCCCAGCAATAGTTAACGAGATCATATTAAACCAGCAATAAAATATTTATATGAATGGTTGAATTGTAAATAACAGAAATTATATTGTCTTACTTCAATGGTTGAATTGTAAACAACAGAAATGATATTGTCTTACTTCAATGGTTCAACTGTAAACAACAGAAATTATATTGATTTACTTCAATGGTTCAATTTGTGAACAAGAAAGACTGACTTACTACAACACCAATTTGTGAAAAGCGATGTTGACTCATTTAAAACATTGAATTGTAAAAAAAAAAAAAAAAAAAATTTATAATGGCTTGTTTTTTGGAACCAAGTAACACTGTCTTCATGGTTTAATACTGTACACCTGGAATTTTTTGTTGCAGTTTAATTTTCACCTTTTTCGCCCAACGTAATGAGGATGAATTGATAATTTACACCAAACATTAGTAAACAACATACATAGTAATTAAGAGGGGATGTCACGAACCATCAAGCTTCAAATGGAAACTAGAAATATTTTATATTTTCTAACTTTATATGGACCATCTTAATGGTAATTATCTGTTGCTGCCATATGAATTAAATTTTATAAAATTTTTGTTACTTTTGTTGAGGATTAAAGTTGTTACCGTGGAAACTGCTGATATTACCAAAATAAACTCAATTTCCATGATTTTACTGACATTTTCTAATGTTCAACATATTTTAATTAACAAGTATTTTAATGTAACATATATATAGTTTCAAAATATATTTCAAAAATCAACATATTGTTATAATGTTGCTATGGTAACCAATATTGGACCTACTTTATAAAAAAAACACAATTCTAATAAAAAAACTTACATTAAAGTGATTATTTCAATTCTGCAACAAGATAGTCATAAAATACACAGTGTTTACAATTGAGCAACAGTGTCCTGACCAAAAGACTTTTTGTTTAGACGAGGAAAAACATGGAAACAAAATCACTAATTTCTTAAAAATTGTAAAGGACCTGTTACAGGAACAAAAGAATTTTGCCCACAAAGNTTTCAAAGCTACAGTTAAACTAAATCATAGGCATAGGTTTGCGTAGGAATATTTGCAGTAAAAAAATTTCTTATATAATAGCCTAGAAAACTAAGTGATGAATTTGCAAAAATACTCCTTAGCAACCAGTTTTATCCCGTAGCAACCAATGTTATCCCTTAGCAACAGCATCAAAAATGGTATTTTTGTAAGCTACCAAACATTATTTTGTATTCTTGAAAGAACATATAGTGCTATATTGAGAAGTAAATAACAAATTTGCCAAAATACTCCTTAGCAACCAGTTTAATACCTTCGCAACCACTTTTTTCCCTTACCAACAGGTTTAAACAAGAGGTCCATTGGCATTAACGGTCACCTGAGTTCTGATATATTTATACAAAGAGTTGATTTTAAAACATAAACATAAATATTATTCAAAGTGACAAAAAACAATAAAACCACCTTATTCAATATCTAGCATACAGATTTAAGATTGAAAAGTATTTGAAACTAGCACCTCTGATTCTAAACAAAGAAAATGAAGAAATTTTAGCACACTGACTCGTTTGGGCCCCGCCCTACAGCCCTTGGTGGTAGGGCTGGCTCAAAATGTTCAAAGTATCAAACTTTCTACTCAGGGTTATAATTCCAATCAAGTTATCAACATGTAATATTCAAAGTATCATTTGCCATTATAAACCATAATATATTTTGCCACCCCCCTTCCCCAGGGGTAAACGTGAGACCCTAAGGTCATAAAATTCACAATTTTGGTAGAGCACCTTAAAACCCTTCAATCTTTAAAGAGTATTTGATTCTACCATATCTAGGTCTTGAGAAGAAGATTTTTGAATTATTAGTCAAGTTGACCCTTTTTTGCCCCGCCCCTCAGGCCCCTGGGGGCTGGGGACCAAATTCACAATTTTGGTTAACCTTCGGCCATGAAAGGTTTCTGGAAAATTTCATTGAAATTGGTTCAGGGGTCGAAAAGGTAAATTGTTTACGGACGCACGACAGACGACGGACAACGACGGACAAAAGCCGATCGCAATAGGTCACTTGAGACTTTGTCTCAGGTGACCTAATAAAAGAGGAGAAGAATACGAATGGACAGTCCCAACAAGATATCGTTCCCATTTGAAGATACATTGTGTTGCTCGGCCTTTTAAACACAGGACAATGCAAATACCAAGTACAATATCACGCCAAATTCATTCGGAACTCCTCCGCTCGATAAAATGACCGTGCCTAAAGTACATGTAATTATATAATCCCGTGTATACAGAATTAAGTCCCATGTAAGCTTTCAAGCAAATTACTTCATAATAGATATCGACTCACAGTCTACAGATGTCCGCAACCGTTACACTTTTTTGATGTAAAAATAATAAGGATCCCAACGTAAAGTAAGGTGTGTTATAGAAATGCGATAGTTCTTATTTGGAATGCTTAAATACACAGTCTGTAATATCAGTATTTCTGAAAAGTATCAACTTGTCAAATCTTAAATGGAGTACCGTAAAAGCAAATATTAATACAATTAAACTTGCTACGGTTTGTGTTTTGACTTAAAATACGAAGAGAGAGCTGCCTTCTTGATATCTTATCTATAATTTCTTACATTTATGGTGTTCGAACCTAGTTAGAGAATGTTAAGTGGAGATTTAAAATGCGTTTTTCTAAAAATATTTTATAGTTTGCTGAAAAATGATCTTGTGTATCATTTAGTAATTTGAATCCCACGTATAATGTTTGTTTTTAGGTTTTATTATCTTATTTATTTTTGCTTGAATGTCTTATCAATCTTTTGAAAATATTCGAAGTACTATAAGCTTAATGGAAACATTGAAATTACGTAATTCATATTTTATGAATACATGAAATATGTATATTATTTTATATATAAATCGATTTTTGTATTTGTAGATAGAAAACAAACCAATAATAAGAAAACAAACGAAACGTATTATTCAAAAAACGTTGTTGAAAAGTGAGATTATGAAAGTCTACTCAAGCTTTCAAACCAGAGAAAACCTTGACCTAGATAAGCAGAGCTGATTGTATGATAGTGGCAGAGTAGAAGGAAAGCATGGCTGCCAAATATGCTATAGTCTTAACACTGATTAGTTTTTGTTCTCCATGCGTGGCGGCGGAGTGGACACGCGAGATTCAAGAGAAGCTGGTCAATGTGAGAAGTGTCACATTTCTAGTAACTGTTAATGACACGTGGGATCCTAAGTAAGTACAAATCGTCATATCCGGTTTAGAGTTTGAAACAGAAGACGTGAATTCATTCAAATTTCCAGCAAAGTCAACGGTTTGGCTGTCGATATTATAAGTATTTAGTGTATTTTTTGTTTGTTCACTAGTGGATGCATTGCAACGGTAAAAACACCTCCTCTAAAACCGAATGTCAAATACAACCATACGGAGCAGATTCATGTTGGAAGCTGTGATCACGGTCCATTGGATTTTCGGGTTTCGTCTCTCAACGACAGTGTGAATGCTATGGTACGTGTAAGGAACATAAGAAACTATATACAAAGCATTAGAGAGGAGTCTTCATTTCACATGAAATAGAAACAAATTCAAGATCCTCTCTATCACAATTGTGCTAAATCTATTATTCACAGCATAATATAACAGTCATGCGATATCACCTGAGTTCAGTAAATCGCGATTATGTATCAATATATATTTAAAACAATTTATTTTGTTTGGCTTTCTGCATAACTACATTAATTTTGTATATATGTTGTTTTTTTTGCTTTTTTTAATGTCTGGTGATTATTTTGCGCCACAAGGTACATTTTTAATTTCCAAAAAGACGCTTACCCTTCCTGAACACCTGGTCTCAACTGTTTGTCATGTTCGAAAAGTCTCCATGTAAAGCTTTCATTTGTTAATGTCTTTCCCTACTTTTTTTTTAATTTCGAGTTCGATTTATGGTTTTGTTCATACTTCGATAATTTCTTGCTTTTGTGTGTGTGTCGTTGTGTTGTATTTAACACATGACGTAGTATGTGACGTTTTAGTATGTTGAGTTATTTTACTGATGAGTGTGACGTATGTGCGTCAATATGACGTCAGGTTTGAATGATGAGGTATTCTTCACTATTATACTGAATAAAAAAACCGCACAATTACATTATGCAATCAATAGCCTATGATATTTTTTGTACAAAATTTTATATTAATATGAAGGGACAAGTCTACTCTTTACAATACTATAAAAGAAAATTCTGTGTGACGTCACTCGTGTCATCAGTAGTTACTAAAAGAGTGGGATACCCGCGAAAAACAAATTGACACTTCAGTACCTGGTGTGTGCACCTTTTGCACGTATCCCTGCATGAATTCATGAGAACATTTATTCGCCTTAAGGAAATGTTGTTCCATCTTGTGTTAAAGCTGCGATCAACTGGGCGCGGTT